TATATATATCCTGCATTTTTTTTGTTGTTTCTCAGCTTTGACACACCGGGTTTGAATGAACAAGTGATGAAGAGCAGTGAAACAACAAAAACATGCAAGACCCTGGAGGACCAGGACTGGGCAAAACCTGTGGTTCCCAAAGTTGGGGTCGGGACCCACAATGAGGCCCCCAAAACCTCAAGGTGGGGTCCTGAAAAGATTCTCTGAATTAATTATATTAGAAAATAACAACTAACATTTTTGTTTTGCCTTTGTTGTTACAAAAGAGTAAGGTTAGTGTAATTAAAATGGAAAAAAATAGCATAATGAATATTGTTACTATGCTCTTTTTTTTTACGTGAAAACTGTGTTTATGATCCAACAACAGTTGGGGGCTCAGGTCTCAGGTCTGCTGGTATTTTGAGGGTCAAAGGCTGGAAAGGTTGGGAACCACTGTTCTTGACTATGGGAGAAAAAATGTTTCAATCTTGAAATTTACAAATAAAATATCAAAACCTTCTTATTGCAAATATTCCAGTAATATGCATTAGTGACAGCCACTTTTAAATTACATGTATAAAGCCAATAGTGAGCTCTGATATGTTTTGTTTTTCTTTTAAAATCTGTTACTTTTAATCAGAAACACCCCCCATCAGAGCCCACTCACTGTGACGGTGCTGCTGCAGAGCTGACAGTTGTGGGGATTCAGCTCATTGAGGAGCATTTGACTCTCAACCACATTAATAATGAAGCTAGAAGAAAATAAATAAATATTTGGTCATTTCTGAAAATATAAAACACACTCGCTTCTGTTTGGGGGGAAAAAAGGCGCCACCAAAAAGTTTTTTCAGTGCAGCTGAATCTGTCACTCTTTTCTATCCAAGGCTTTCTGGTGCACAGAGTGGCCTGCCTTTCTGTCCATAAACACAGCCGAACAAAGGCTTTAAGCCCGCGGCTACAAGTTCAGGAAATACATCCGGCCTGCAGCTGTTAGAAATGTGCCAGCTCACCTGTTCAAAAATAACGGGAAAGGCTCTCTTCACAATAAACTGCGGAGGTTATTATGTAAGAACAACTCCCCGGCTGAACTCAGCGTTTCACTTCGCTTAACTCCAGAGTGTTGGAAAAACAACAAACAGCAACTAAAATCTTACAGAGAACCAAGAAGAGTTGGAGTCCTTGGTTAAATAATAATAATAATAATAAAATAAAGCTGTTGGGGAAAGGGGTTTTCTTTTCCCTCAGGCGCGGCGGACCGAGGAGGGAAGCTTTTTGAGGACGAACATTTAAATGTGGACACTCACCTTCACAAAGACGAGGGAAAACAGGACACGAAAACAGTCGAGTACACGGTACGGAACAACTCTTCCTGCTTTTAAATCATGAATAAAGTCTTGGAGAAGCGATAAAAGCAGAAAGTAAATCCCACACCCGCGAAGAAGTCGCCGAAGAAGTGAAGTATCCCAAACAGTTCTCCCAGCAGCAGCAGCAGGGTTCGGATTAATGGAGTCCAGCCCTCCCTCTTTCCGACAGCGGATAACGTCACTGCTTCCAATCCCACTTTTCCTTTTTCTTACTGGGAGACTTTCCGCCCACTGGTCCCCCCCTCATCACCTCAAACACTTTTTATTTTATCTTTATTTTATTTAAAGTTACACATCATCAGTGAGTGGGTCAGTCTGTTTATACTTCACGCATCATGAGCCACGTCACTGACACAGAGTTTAATTACTGACGCGGCTAACAGGTTTTAAACCAGAAAACTCAACAGAACCAGATGTTTCAATCTCGCGAGAGCACAAGCAGAACCAGAACCAGCAGAGGCGAATCATTTACAATGGGATATAGCATCATGCTGTAAAAAAGTGGGATTTATTCTAACAGTTTATTGGGGTTTTATTTTGCTGTGATGATCCAAATCAACAAAGGAAGCAATAAGTGTAATAAATAAATGAAATAGACCTCTTTCACAACTAAATCTGTTTGACAAAAACAATTATTTGTATATTTTCCATTGCATGCATGCTGGTTTGAGAAGATGCATTAAGATGACCTTAAGCAGGGGCACCACCAAGGAGTGACGAAGGGGGGCAATGGCTCCTACAACCAAATYGACMTTTTCMCAGTTACTAATGTGCACGCATAAAACCAAGCACCGTGTCATGAACTCAAAAAGGTTCAAAGCTATTTCCAATATTCAMAGAWTCRAGATTCAAAGTGTTTTATTGTCAYACACACAGRTGAAAACATGTTTCCCTGAGCAATGASATYCTTYCTTTGCCGACCACTCTGAATGAAGAGTCAAGGAATAAGCACTTAAAGGACACTAACAAGGTAATAAGGGATGAAGGATAAAAAAGACCACACTTTAAAAAAACAGAGACCAGAGATAATAACATCAGAAAGGAACAATAAAAAAATAACATCAAGAAAGGGAAGAGTAATCAGTGTTTAAAGTGTAAATGTGCAACAGGTAACAGTCTGAAATGTGCACTTGTGCAATAATAATAGTCAGATAGTCACGTTCAGCTGTTTACAAGTCTGCTGGAAAAACAACTTCTTAAATCTGGASGTTCTGTATTTCACACTTGTGTACCAGAGGGCAGAGGTGGGAATAGTCCATGCTGGTGGACCCAATCAGGTCTTTGATGACTGAGGTTGCTCTCCTGAGGGTCCTGCAGTGGTAGATGCTCTGCAGAGAGGGCTGTGAGGTCCCTGTGATCTGCTCAGCAGTTTTTACCACTCTCTGCAGGCGTTTGTGGTCCATAGTGGTGGTTCTGCTGTACCAGGCTGTGATGCAGCTGGTTAAGATTCAGGAATAGATACTGGCATGGATTTTAGGGGTGGGATTTTTTTTTTTTTTTTTTACCATCGCATGATTTGAAAGTTATGGGATGATATGGGATACCTTGGCTCTGCTGTCTGCAGCTTACAGATGAAACCCTCGTTCTCAGGTGGCTGACTCTGTTCGGTGTTACACTAACTTATGCAGTTGTGTTACAGAAGTGCTTAATCCTTTTTTGCAAACCCTGCACACGTTGAAGCTCATGTCAAGCTCAGGCTTCCCGGGCGTTCGGTGAAAACCAAAATGAGTCCATGTCTTTGCCGTCAACGAAGACAGGGTCACTTGAATCCCCTTTTTCCTCTGCTTTTGTAGTTTTCTCTTTGTTTTAGTGCTTTCTGTGCTTTGCGTATGTTCCAGAACAGCTTCATTGGGATGTCAGGATGTCCCGTGTAGTTACAAAATGGAGACAAACAGCCATCAAATTTTTTTTGTTATTTTTTAAATCATTTTTGGGACACTTTACATCGATTCTGAATCATTGTAAATCAGAATTCTTATGTGAAAAGAGTTTTTTGGCGTGCCGTACCCCTAAAGAATATACAGCATTAACACCTCAATGCATAGCAAAACACTGAAAATGAAGTATTTAATCTGTGAGGATTTAAAATGTTTTTATAAAACAGAACATCAGTAACAACAAACGATGTCAGTGACGGTGTAAAACATTTGGCATGTGTTTTACATTCATCTTATTGCAAATATTTTACCTCGTTTAAACCCTCCAAAGCAGAAACTAACAGGTCGTTGCAGCGCTCATGGAGACTTCAAGCTGCCTTTTATGGAAATAATGCTGAGTCTTCATCAGCACCCAGTGACCAGCAGTTCTCTCAGCGTGAATAACTGCGCAAAGGACAGGAGAGTTCAACACTCACGCTGTTGAAGCTGTTTTCATCCTGCCAAAAATTAGCTGTAATTCTAAAGTCATTCCTTTTTTTGTCAGGATTTTCCTTTCAGAATCAGTGTTTTCAAAGAAATAGGCTGAAATTTCRCTTTTAGCATACATTTGTGCTTTATGGAACAGCTATGTTTGTGTCTTACATTAGCTCCATTGTCTTAAACTCAGAGTCTACTTGGACAATTACTGAACTACATCATCTGATCTCAGTATGCATTTTAAGTGTTTTCTGTTTCACGTGCACAGAATTCAGAATGAGTTGTGGAGATCAGACAAGAAACTGACCGTCTGCCAGCTACTGGGTTTGAAACATCAGTCAAGTGATTACACAAATCACACGTCTGGGAAGAAAAAAAAACAAAGAAAAAAAAAGGCTAGAGAAAAATGTAGCTGTCTTCTGTCTCCTCGAAGCTAAAACACAATAAACGCTCCGTGACTCGCTCTCCAAGTGATCAGCAGAAACACCCCATGAATCAGCTGCGTTTCTGGCCCAGACTCCTGCTGAACTCACTGAGCTCCAGTCCTCCAGCTAAAGGAATCTGGGGCCTTCAGACCTCGGCCTGCATCAAAGCGATTTATAACCACTCTCCCATGCTGATCCGACCCCCTTGTCAGTGTCTGGCAGCCCACCCATTGCCTTTTAAAGGCTGCGACTTTAATTGCAGAAGAAACATTTGACTAAGATGAAAAGCAGGGGGGTCAGATGGCTTGGAGGCTGATGATGTGGATGGAGGGGAGGAAAAAGGTGGTAAAAAAAGTGAAGGAGCTCTAAAGTCGACGCTTTCTTTGGCATTTGGATGCATTTCATTTATTATAACAAAGACTAGATGTAAACATAACTGAATAGCTGCTGAAATGGTTTATTCATTAAAAAGAACCAGGCATTAAACAGATGGTCACTGTGGGTCTTAGTTTCAGTATTACTAACAGTATACTGACCTCTTCTGGACATAAATAGAAAAGCAACATTTTATCCATGATGCATGAGTCAGCTCTTATTCAGGTAGTCTCATCTGTAGACGTCATTTTTGCAGAGTCTACTGCTACCCGTAAAACAAAAGGCCAAGTTCATGTGGAAACTACTGAACTATTTCTGAACTACATCGAGTCAAACTCTGTTAGTCCCTTCAGGGGGGGCGGCTCGTAAACAATCTGATCTGAGTAACAGAACAAAAACTGATTTCAAACTCCTGCTACGTGGCACAAATCATTACCTTCTGTGAAACATGACAGAGTGAGGAAATGGTGGTGTATTCAAAAGGAAATGCTTTAATAAAAGGAATCAAATACAGTGCTTTGGATGGCAGTTAGAATCCATTACAGGCATGGGTTATTGCACAGCTCTAAGGACAAACACACAACTTTTCTGGACATTTTCTCAAAGTTAGAACCAGTGCAACCAACACATTTCATTTGAGCCAATTACTTTTAATGCACATCTTTTTTAAGACCACTTGTCTGGATTCAAGCCAACTGTAGCCTCTTCATAAATGTGTGACTATTTTATTAATTTTTTTTTACATAGAGACAAGACAACTGAGCTTAACTGCTGTCATCAATGATGGCTTAAACTGGACAATAATAATAATAAAAAAACTGAATCTACACACATGTAACAGCAGATGATTCCCTGACGTTTGTGGTGTCTTTACTAAGAAAAATATACTGTCACTGGTCTAAAAAGCTGTACATTAAATGTCCCGACAGTCAAAGATACTCTAAATTCAGAAACATTTCCTGGTAATGCTTTTTCACTTGACTTGCTCAGATCTCAGCAAGTGGAATGAACACATTCATAAATCTGTGCTTGATTTAAAAGAACTGCCCGGATGGAAAAAAAAAAACCAAAATGTGCGAAATTCACATACATTTATGAAACACAAGCAAGTCACAATGACAGAAACGCTGCTGGGAC